TAACCGGTGACGAACTAACTGAGTTGAGATTAAATAACGGAAACTTAGAAAATTTAGATGCAAGTCACAATTTTTTAAAGAAATTAACACGCACCCAATTGGAGAATCTGACGAATTTAACATATGCAAATTTCTCATTTAATCAAATCAGAGAAATAGAGGAAAATGCATTTAAACCTTTAAAGAAGTTGCAATATCTTAATCTGAATAATAATGAATTGAAGAGAGATGTGATTGGCACTTGCGATAAGCTGAAGTATCTATCAATGAGCGATAATCTAATTGAAATTGTAATTTTCAGTGAATTTCTTTAATTCTAAACGAAACCAATCAATTTTGCTTAACATTTCAGCTTTCTTCGAGTAACTATCGCGGCATGACGGCAATGGAGCACCTCGTAATAACCGAAAACCCATTGCGTGAAATTGAAAATCGTGCTTTCGCTTATATGCCACGCTTACGCATTCTAAATATATCAGAAAATAATTTAGAACAAATTTCGCCTATGGTTTTCTTTGGCATGAAACGTGTACCACTACAACAGCTTGACGTAAGCTTCAATAATCTGTTGAGTCTAACATCCAACCAATTTGAGCACATACCAAAATTGCAAATCTTGAATATATCCGACAATCGCTTAAAGTCTTTGGAAACGACAACCTTCGCAGGACTAACATCACTGCGTAAACTTTTTCTTCACAACAATGACATCAAAAATATCAAAGCAAATACTTTCGCTAATTTAGTGTCACTTGATACTTTGGACCTATCCAGAAATAATATCGAAACAATTGAGGCAGATGCCTTTGGAGCTGTTATGTTGCCAAGACTGCGTGAACTGCAACTAAAGACGAATAATTTAAAACAATTAGATCCATTGACATTTTCATCCTTACCACATCTGGAATATTTGTCTTTAGCTTACAATGAACTTACTACCTTGAATCTGCGTATGTTCGCACCGATGCGTCGTATACAGAAATTGCATTTGGGACATAACCAACTGGAAGAAATTAATGCATCGGTTTTGGAAAGCTGGACAAATTTATCGGAAATGCTTATAGATAACAATAAATTAACATTTCTTCCAGAAATAAATGGCATCTTTCCGAATTTACGTAAGGTTTCAATTGAAGGTAATCCTTGGCAGTGTCCATGCTATGATGAGTTGATTAAAATATTAAATAAAAATAATATCGAATATGTGCGCATGACAAGTCCATTTTACAAAGGCGAAAAACCGTTTTGCTTTGTTACTCCTGTAGAGTACTGCGTGCAGGATATCAAAGCTGTGCGAGCTCATGGCATACCAGAAGGGTTTGAGGTGGCCTCTGATGACTCCAGTAATATAAATGACGACTAACTAATGAAATTTGTAAATTTTATATTAAAAATAAAGACTGATTTTTAGGGAGTGAGAGTACACGTTTGCATAAAATTAATTTGGAGAAGTAGAGAAGACACGATTGAGTTAAGGTGGTATATGTTACAAAAGTTATATTGTTATCATCTCTTTTCGAATAAGGTCATATGATGTTTTTGTTGTTGTGGTAACTCGTATGAATCTGTTGCAAAATTCTGCTTGGGGAGTGGTGAACGCCGAGTGGCTTCGGACGTAAACCCGGCCGGCCTTGGAGTAAGTCATTTTCTTTAATGTTTAATTATGATGTTTGAGAATACTTATTTTATTCAGAAGATAGTTATCATTATGGGCTAGATAACGAATGTACCTCTTGTAGGAAAATAAATTTTTAATATTAAAATATATACTAGAATAAATACTAATATTAGGTATGTATTAATAAAATTTAAAATTAATGCTCTAATATGGAAATTATAAGAACATTAAGTTGAACGAATAACGCAACACATTTGTGCATTATACAAGCACCAGTTTATATAGATCTTTAGTTCTATATAAATACCATAAGTACCTACTTAATAAGTGACTGATTGTTTAGGTACAGAGATATTTAATATAAATTGTAGTTAAGGCGTATATTGTGATGCCTTTTCTAGGTGAAGTGGATGAAATCGAAATGTGTTCGCTATAGAATCACTATTTTTCTTTCAAACTAAACACATGACGCCTTGGATTACTATCTAGTGTGACTTATATTACTGTGTATACTATATACATATATTGTGTACTATATATAGATTATGTACTATATTTACCCATGTAGATGGACCACGTAATGGATAACTTTTCAGAGTATAGATTATCTATTTTTAATATAAAGTTCTTATATTACTTGATTTTAAATGTTCATATTACGCTATTAAGGTGATGAAATAAATCGTAATACATAGCTTACGATTTATAATACATTGTTTTAACTGATCGTAAAATACCGACATAAACTATGTAACAGAAAAGATGGACTGATATTAGTCTGGGGATCAGACGGAGAATTATCATTGCTAATAGATGCTACTATGATTTCAGTAGGTAATTGATATGTAGAACTCTCTCTCTACAAACAAAACTTAAACTCCATAGGTCGAAATGTCTCTCCGGTGCTTCTGTATGGCGCAAAAGCATAGACGTTATCATAGGATGATAAAGCAGCATTGACTGTTTTGAGAGAAATGTTCTTCGTGTATCTTTGGACCTTTACGAGTTTGTAATGACTGCTGCATGCGAATGAACTCGAGCTGTATGAGCTCTATCGCGGAAATTGTATAAATCAGCGAATTAACATCCAGCGACTTCGCTGTCGTGAGAATGGGTGAAGATGTTCCAGTGAAAATTTTATTTGAAGCAGTAGTTGGAGGAAGAAGGCGTAAAAGCAGACCGTAGCATCGGTGAAGTGATCGAATTGGGGGAGTACTAATCGAACTTGAACGTATGAGTCTAAAGAAGGCGCGTACGCAGCAGACTCGCCTGCAGAGATATACTGCGTCAGATCGAAACTCAGTAACGGGTTGTTATGTCCAAATAAGGCTTAAAAGTATGGTGATATATATAACCGCTCTTTAACGCCTGGACTGGATTATTGCTTATCACTTCATCAGGGTAAGCAATAATTGACCTCAGTT